CCATCCTCTTTATCATTTTCTGCTTGTTTGTTAACAACCTGCTGTGTATAACAGAACAACATGACATGCAAGAACCAATCAAAGTTGGTTTGTGTCATTTGCTTCAAAATAGAGTCAAATCCACCAAGCCATCCATTTAGTTGTTCACATGCCTGTGTATTAAATGCACGCTTCAAATACTTCACCCCACTATCAGTTTCTGCCTCAACAACCAGATTTGGTGCAGATCCATCAAGTGGTGCTGGATTACAGTACTTGCGGCATAAAAAATCTCCCACTCGATGATTGGTATAATGATATGCATCAACAATGAGGCGGCTTGTATCTTTCCACTCCTCCCATGATCCATTAATTAGACTTGTCCGAAGAACCAGACATGCTTTGTCAATGCATATATAATCTGGTCTTGTTTCCTTTCTAGGATATGTATCTTTGAGAAATTTCAAAATCTTTGTCGGTGATTCTGATTTTGCAAACTTTGTCCATGCAATGACCACACCACATGGAGCACAAATTGTTTCAACACAATAAAATCGAGCTGGGCTAAAATAATTTTTGTGTTGAGTTTCAGGTGCCTCTTCATCATGTGGCTGTATATCTCGTTCAACATTTTGATTCCAGGCAAGATTCTCATTTTGATGATTCAACATTCTATGAACACCTGCCAAGGTTGATTTTGTTCATAACTGACGATGGTGAGACCAATCCTGCTGATGTTGAGGACATGCCTGGGTACCTTGCACTTTTACATTCCTGCAACCAACAACACGGCACCGATTTGCAAATTCAGTGACATGTGTGGCACAAAATGCTTCTCCACGGGCATTTAAAAGATCTGCAGTACAATTGTCTGCAGCACAATGAACTGGCCCCATAACAATACCATCCATGACTATCATTTTAACTGGAGAATTTGTGACAGTGGAAGCAACATTTATTGGTTGGTTAGGAACATTTAGATTAACTGGGTTTTCATCAGCTAAGGCTGGAACAAGTCTGTTGTCATCAACACCAAGTACAGCAGCAGGATCATTATTTAGTGGGGTATAATCTGCAGTGGTTTTGTAATCTTGAGTACACTCTGAGCATGCATGTCCATTAGACAGCCTTATTCCTCCATTCTCACCCAACAAACTAAATGCTTTATTTGTCAACTCAGCAATTGCAAGATTGTCATTTGTCTCAAATGTTATTCCCAATGTATGAGAAACACTACAAATTGATTCCTGGATGAAAGCTTGCCATATCTGGCGTCTTGGAACTTTGACAGCATGAGTTTTTCCAAAGCTATTGGTCCAGAATTCTGCATATGCAGCAGTTGATGCATGGAAGCTATAGGTGCCATTTATAACAGCAGTTGAAAAAATTCGGTCAACATAGGTACTTTGTCCAATTTTGATATAACATGCATCATTGAGGTATGTTCTTTTCCTTTGGTGTGATGGGCCATAGGCTTCATGATCAACAAAATAGGATGTGTTGCATTTGGGGCAATATGCACTCATCACTGAAACATTTTTAAAGATCTTAGTGCCCTTAATCAATGTTGCTTCAGGAACTTGGTTTGCACGAGTCAACACTAGCAAACTGCGAGATTCACATGCTCCATCCATGCATTCATAAGACTTTGGGCACAGAACCAAAATTGGTTGGATGTCATCATTTGAAATAGGACAGAGTCTTTTGATTGGTTGTCCATTAGGCCCAAAAGGATTTAAGCCCAACAGATTTTGAAAGGAATCCAATTTAATGCTCATTAGTTCCCTGGCCTCTGATCCTGTTAAATCATCTGGCATTTCATTCTGTTTGAATAGTGATTTCAACTTTTTCTCAATTGTATTCTGTTGAATAGCATGAGATAATGCATTCATCCAGGTACTTGAGCTACATTTTTGCTCATAGTTAAACTGTGGATTCTGACTGCGTGCATGCAAGTTCAGAAGATCAGTGTTCTCATTGAGTGTAAACAAGAGCATTAGCACTGTGCTCAATGAAATCTTTGGACCAAAGGTACTTTCAATGAAAGTACTGAAGATTTCAAATGAGATGTTTGGGAATGCACTTTCAGGACCTGCTGCATGAACTCCAGGACAGAAAAACAGGAAAACCATCAAGATACCAAATAATGGCATAGACACAATCATCTTCCAAACTATTGAAAAGCCAAGGTATACTTGGCAAGATGTTGATATGCTAGTGTTGATCCTATTTATAAAACACCAAATATTTCAGACATTGTAGAAGAGATACAGATACAAATTTGAAATTTTACAGAAGGGAAATTACCTACCCAGCAGATTTCTTTTTGTTCTTCATTGCCTTTGATCCCTCCTTCTTCTCCTTTCCCTTCACAATATATTTTGCCTCTCCTTTTTTGACCACCTTTACCTTCTTCCCATCCTTCTTCTCCAACCACTCCTCCAAATCCTTCATGGTGTAATTGTTCTTCACCTCACCCCAAAGCTCTTCCTCTGATACACAACCAACCTCTTCAGCAAGCCAAGCCCTCATATCCTCGTGTTTTTCAGCAGCCGGAATCCGTGTAGCATATGAACTGTGCCAAGTTGTTTTGGCAACAAAGAGATTGGTGATATCAGTCTTTGTAGGTGTGAACCCAATCCAAGTCCTCTCCTTCTTCATGTAGTCAATTTGACAATTAATCTCATTGACTGCACAATATCGCTGATATATAATCTGAAGCGAGGGTTTATCAATGTTCTGGCAGAGATCATGATCAAACTCAATGCCATTATCAGTCAGGAGAGTAATGAGCTTTTGGTCAAGCCGACGACTCTTTGAGCTTGATAGCTCTGATGACATATTATCAGGATATGAATCTGTGTTGGATGGTGTGTAACGTGAGTGAGAAGTCAATGGACCTGCCAGTACAGGGTTAAAAACCCTAGAGGATTGAATGATTGGAAGAAGCTAATATTGTTAATAATAAAGATAATAAGATTAACCTAAGTCACTTACAAAGAGGATATGACATTCTAGACCACCTTGATCACCTGTCTGATGTGGGACCTCTTCATTGGTCTCAAGAACAAAGGAATACTGTCCCTGTAAATTCCAGAGCCAGCGGCCAGAAAAATCGGAATGAAAAAATACATCAGAATCTAAAACAGATCATATTCAATTTACTTGGTAGATAATAATCATAATGAAACTTACTATTGATGGAAGTATGAAGTTGTGAAGCCCTCTCCAAAAGAGGCTTAGCAAGAAGTGAGGTACCAGACAAAAGAAAAACAGCTACTGGAAGCTGTGAATCAAAGTCGGGAACCTTGTTCAACCCCAACACATCACCAGACTCAACATGAACATAGATCTTGAATTGGAGTAGTGGTTTGACCAAAGCATATCCATCATCCGCATAACAAAAGTCAGCATGATTGAGTGCATTGCCATGTGCCCTGCCTCTGATAAAACCACCTGTTGTATGAGATGACCCATGCAGAGGTGGACTTCCCATCTCAATATCTGAACAAAATAATTCAAGAAATTTTTTAAATAATAAAATAAAATAAAATTGATGTACCATCATTAGGTACAGGTTTTATGGGTGGGGTACATACTAAATTAAAGTAAATATGGAATAAAAAGGATAGAAATAAGTATACCTTTTCCAAAAGGTTCAAGATCAGTGGTAGAGACAGCAGAGACAGCAGAGGCAGAGACAACAGGGGCAGAGACAACAGGGGCAGAGACAACAGGGGGAGAGACAACAGGGGCAGAGACAGCAGGGGCAGAGACAGCAGGGGCAGGGGCAGAGACAGCAGGGGCAGAGACAACAGGGGCAGAGACAGTAGGGGCAGAGACTGGGGTAGAGATGACCAGGGTAGAGATGGCTGGGGTAGAGATGGCTGGGGTAGAGACGGCCGGGGTAGAGACGGCCGGGGTAGAGACGGCCGGGGTAGAGACGGCCGAGGTAGAGACGACGGGGGTAGAGATGACTGGGGTGGAGACGACCGGGGAGTGTGTGCGTGCAGTGCGTAGGTGTGTGGGGTCGTTCTCGCACCTGTTTTCGTCACTGGCTTCCTCGATGTTGTCGTCGTGGGCATTGGCCCTGGCTTCTGCCTCCTCGATTTTGTCGGTGGCTTCATTGCTGGTGTTTTCATCAACCTCGTTGTTGTCTTTGATGCTGTTGTTGTCTTGGACACTGTGGTTGTCGTCTCGGGGGCTATCATTGTCCTCACTGGCTCCCTCGTCCTCGCTGCTGTGGGTTTGTTCAACTACGTGGGTGAGGCGCTCAGCACGGCAGATACGGGCACCTGGAATGGTAGGAGGAGGGGGCATGTGTTCAGCATCTGGAGCACGGGGACGCTCGAGGGGGGCAACGGATGCACCACTGGCCTTGAGCGCCCGCTCAGCGCTTATTGCGTCAGCCTCATGGTAGAAAATGGGGTGGGAGGTGGGACTTACGGTGTCAGAGTGGCAGGAGGAGCCTGACTGGCATCCTCTGCAGCCTTAACGGCACTGGTTTTTCTGTAGGTTGTCGTTGCGTAGTCAGTATGGTAGCATAACAATATACCAGGGGGGTACTTACCTTGTTTTCCTTGTTTTCCTGGTGGTTATGACCTCGTCGTCACCACGGGCCTTCTTTGCATTCGGTTTGCTGGTGGTTTTGTCTGCATTGGATGGGCCGTGTTTGTGGATTCGGGTGGAACGAGGGGGTGAGGCAGCTTTTGTAGCTGGTTTCTTGCCTCGGCGGGGCGGCATCAATGAGAGATGGTGGTGATGGAGATGGAGATGGTCGACGACCGATAGTGGTGAGTGATGGTAGCAAGCGATGAGCGATGGTGGTGGTGATGGAGGTGGAATGGGTGACGTGATGTGTGAACTAGTAGTGGTGGTGAGCGATGATTGATAGGGGGTGGTGAAGTGGTGGTGGGAAGCAAGCAAGCAAGCAAGAAGTCGACGTAGCGGTATATTTGGATGTGCACAGGCCATGTGGCCAGGCAAGGGTATATCACATACTAATTTTCTTATATTTAAAAGCCAGTGTAGCTCAGTTGGCTAGAGCGCTTGTTAATGCTGAACAGGTCCTAGGTTCGATTCACGTTGGTGCAGATTTTAAATTTTTACTTAATTACTACAAATGCTATTAGTAACCTAGTAAATAGTTTCTAATGGTTTGTATATATTTTAATGGTTATTCCATGTGGAATCCATATAGAATCCAGTGGAATAAAGGTGTGGATTCCATGTGGATTCCAGGTGGATTCCAGGTGGACATTCCACCATTCCATATGAATTCCATGTGGAATGGAGAGCCCAAAATGAGTGGGATCTCAGCCAAAACATATTCCATATGGAATGATGGAATCCATGTGGAATATGGGGGGAGAGTAAAGACCTCCTCATGGCCCTCACCATCAGAATCAAAAAATATTTCTGCATCCAGTAATACTCCTTCATCGGCATTGTATGTAGAAATGAAATTATGAATAGTGCATAAGGCTGTTGGGATTCGTGCTTGAATGTCAAGGTTGTATTCTGGAGCAATAAGAAGAATACGAAATCGGCGCTTCAGTACACCACATATGCGTTCAATGATGTTTCGTGCTGAAGCATGGTGAAGATTAAAGAGTTCTTCCTTATTGCGTGGCCTATTACAGTTTCAGTTCTGAAGCTTTATAAGAATCCAAGTCTCAAGACCAACCTAACATTGGCACAACCCCATTCTGCAAGATGGTAGCATACATTTCGGTAAGGTACCAGAAGTTCAGGACATAGTAGAAAACCAGCATCAGCAAGGTAATACTTGCCAGCTGGTATATCCAAATCATGGGCCCGTGCATCCTCATAGATGCGTGCATCAGTAGCAGATCCCTCCCATCCCGTAACAGAATAAATTAATTTAAGAGCAAAATTGCAACAAAATAGGCAATTTTGTGAGACAAACCCTTTCCAATTTCAACAAAGTGGCCGTTCAAGTGCAGGTGGTGCACTATGTATGTGGCTTCCATCAATGGTGCCAAGAGCGTCCTTGAAGTATGGCCAGAACTTTGGGTTGTTATAGATCTGAGTTGGTGGTGGATCATGTACAGTTGGCAAGCAGACATATTTTGTGTAAAAAGGAGGGGATGAGAAGATCGCAACCATCTTCTGAAAATATCTAAGAGATCATTGAGCAATCTTGGAAATAAATAAAAAAGCCACTTACCGTGAAATTGTATCATTAGATCTTTGGAAGCGTTCTCCTACATGGCGGATTGTTAAACCTGTGATGCACATGTACAAAAAAATTGCCAGTTGTTCCTCCAAAGAAACAAATCTAGAACTAGTATGGCCAAGTGCACGAAGTTCCATGATCAACTCTAAAAATACATGGCGATGTACACCAAGTTCACAACGGATGCGTTCCGGGTGGCCAGTGAGCAACTCCAATACCCATCCTTCACCTGTGAGGATTGATGTATGGTATGGTTCTGGTTGTCGGTTGTAGACTGAATGCAATATTGATATAGTGGCTGAAAGGATTATATTGACAAAAAGAAAAACAAATTGACTGAGGCGTTGTCTTATCTCTTGTTGAGCTTGGTTGCGCTGATCCATATCAATGGTCAAATTGGCCTGAGCCCAACTCATCTCTGAGATAAGATGGAGATGACTGACATCTAATCTTGATCTAATCTCTGAGATAAGTCAACAGTGGATAATTTAAAACTCCACAGGTCGGAATTTCGGCAAGACCTGCAAATGCCACACAAATGATCCCTGCATACGTTCACATGTGGTATCCGAACAAGCTCTAAGAGCGCACGGTCAACCCGTCACCGTCAGACCACCGTCAACATACGGCCGTATACCGTATACGGTACGGCGTGCAGCCCTAGACTCTCATACACACTCGGATCATTCTTCAGCTCATACCTGCAAGACGATTGTGCAAGGAAAGGATAGTTCAAACGCACATTAGCACATATACAACAACTTACAGCGTTTAATTGCAGACTCACCGTGTGTGTGATTTTTGCACATAACAAGACAGCCATATGAGCTTAGCAGATATTGTCTTCAGATTTCTTCTTCGAATACTCAATTAAGTCAATACATTGGCTTCAGCATTGTCCCTTTACTCTTTAATGCTCCCTTATCGTATACCAAGTTGTAAAAGGCCTTCTAAAGATGTTCGAGCTTAGGGAAGGGTCAGCCCAGCTCAAAGGAACAATCGATAACAACCCTACATCGTCATCTGCAGCATCTATTCAGCATTGTTCAACTTCCCATCATGATATTTATGGGGTCGAGATGGTAGCGTTAGTGCTGTTCCGGCCCGGCTTGGCCTCAAAGCCCCGGCTTTGGCTTTCCTAATCCTCAGGCCAAGCCAAAGCCGTCAACCATGGCCTGGCCCTGGCTTGGCCCGGCTCAGGCCACGGCTTTTGCCAAATTTTATTTTTATTATTTTTATTATTTTATTTTAATTTTAATTTCTACTAAGTACCTGCTAACATAAGGAGAATAAGGTTTCAAGCTATACTATAGTGATGGTCACGAGAAAAAGGCATCAGTGCATGCTTTGCCGCTCAGCTGGACGCCGTTGGCTGTCCATTAATAGATATTACTAATAATTTACTACTATATATCATCAATTTTCACATTTAAATACAATGTTCATCTGTTTATATGTTACTACTAACTATATAACACCATTATACAGCTGGAAAAATAAATAAAAAACCTAAAAAAGCCTACTGAAAAGCCGCGGCCTGACGGCTTGGCTTTGGCTTTTCAAATCCCAGGCCAGGCCAAAAGCCGTCACAGGCCGTTACTTTGGCCCGGCTGGGCCCGGCCTATTTTGGCCCGGCTTGGCCTGGCTCACGGCCTGAAGCCGGGCCAAGCACAGCACTAGGTAGCGTTGACCAGGTGTTAATCATCATCATAAAAGTGATATTTCAGACATATCCTAGATTCGACGTTGTTCGAATCCATTGAATAGAGGTTAACTCACCTTTCGTCTAGATCCAGTGAAACAACCGTGTCGACGGTGTCGTCATCTGTGCCACTATATCAACAACATATTAGGCCTCTTTCATCGCATCCAAAGCTTCATTAAGATGGAGTCGAGATGATAGTGTTAATCAGGAGTTAATCGTCAGAAAGCGATATTTAAAACCTACCGTAGATTCAACGTTGTCCGAATCCATTGAATAGAGGTGAGCTGATGTCGAAAATAAAAGAAACGAGCCAATACCTCACCTTCCGTCTACTAGATCCAATGAAACAACCGTATCGACTGTGTCGTCATCTGTGCTACTATATCAACAGGATTAGGCCTCCTTCATCACATCCAAATGTTCATCAAGTACAGTATGGGCGTTGCCCCTCCAACGGCGTCGACGAATGATTTAGGTTTCGACCGTTGAATCTGTCGTTTTTATGATTTGAGTTGTAACTAGGTGTTGAAATCTAACAGAGGTGAGTTTATGTCAAAAGCTGGAAGCCAGTAGCTCACTTGCCGTCAGAGTATCGCATGGTAATCACTATGATCATCTTTTTGGTGATTGATGGAAGCTGGTCTGAGGCCAGTTTTACCTTGGAAAACTCGGTTACCCAAAATAAGACAAGTTGCATAACCATCTTCTCCTCAAACTAGTTAGCATGTATACATGGCAATGCGATTCTACTTGATCAAAAATCGGATTATGATTATGACGGCGACAGTTTGTTAAGATCGTCACGAACTTCAAGCTTTTATCTCAGTCACTGTATTAGATCTAGATGCTAGACTCTTATATAAAGTAAGGGTCAGAGATGCAATAGGTCATTGCAACAGACACGAAGTCATGAATCCTGCAGACTTTGAGTTCATTGGCTTATGTCTCGAAGGCTTTCTTTACGGTAAGATATTTTATACAACTTTCACAGCACCTGCTAAAGAAGTATAATATTAACCTGTCCTAGGACTGTATTCTGGCATATTTGCCATGTATTTACAAAACCACTGGGCATCGGGACAAGGTTCCAACAAGACGAAAAACATCGTTTTCTATGCTCTGTGTGTTCTATATGCTCTATCTAGTGTTGCCATTGCGCTTGATATGACACTTTTCACGCGTGCGGTTAGTAACAATTTCATCAGTAATGATAGCCATCTTTTTTTACGCTTTCTGTTTGCAGTATCGCAGGAATGCAACAGTATTCGACATATCTTTTATTCACCTTGAAGGCACATTAGTAGGCTGCTGCGATTTCATCGCTCAATCTATCCTAGTATGTATAAACCTACTATGGCCCGGGCTATCAGTTATCTTATTCATGCAAATCTCAAAGATCTACCGTTGCTGGATTGTGTGGGGTTGCAATATCCGTGTCGTGGTCGCTCCTTCAATCTCAGCATTTGTATTCTTAGGTCAGTCAAGCTATCTTATTTTCTTATTTGACTTACTTATTTCAATTCATTGCCTGTAGCTATGTGGGTAGCGGCTGCGAACTCAGCGTACATTCTCTCAGACCACGGCGTTGTGGAAACTCGCTGGGGGAATTGTATGAATGTGGCAAGTGTCGCCATGTCCATGACCGTGAATGCTCTGGTGACGGGCTTGATCGTCTTTAAGATCTTCAAGGTGTACCGTGAAGTCAAATCCGCCTTGGACGACCACACTTTGGGTGTCACTGGGGGGAGCAGAATTCGTCCTGTTATATTCGTGCTAATTGAATCTGGCATGATTCTATTTTGTATCCAATTGGCTCGGCTCGTGGTTACCATTGTGCCGACAGACACTGCCTATGAAGCTTTTGTTATCATCAGTTCTATCCACCAAATGCTCAATGTGATTACAACATCACTCATTGCTACTTCTTACTTTACTGATAACATGAGTCTTCCTAGGGTATCACACCTACAATTATCCTGGTGCGGCTCTCCATGGGATTGTCGTTCCACGACAAAGAATCCATGATAGAATCTACCATCGAGATTGCAGCTAGCAATCCAAATCCAATTCCAATTGCCGAAACTGGAGGTGATGATATTTTCAATAGAGACGATGATATTGGCGTTTGACTAAGAGACGATATCCACATGGCAGATAGATGTGATCATCTATCTGCCATGTGGATCG